ATATCAATATGCTTAGCTCATTTATGTGAGACTGGATTTTGACTAAGAAAGATAACAATGCTATTGTCACAAAGAAGCGTAGGGCGATCAGGAGGTAACACATGAAGCTCTCGGAGCAAATGAGTAACCCAAACAATCTCAGCTGCTGCGTTGGCCATGGCTCGATATTCCGACTCACAGCTAGAACGTGACACAGTGGGTTGTTTCTTGGCACTCCATGAAACAAGATTACCTCCAAGAAAAATCGAATATCCATATGTAGATCGTCTAGTTTCAATGCAGCGAGTCCAATCGACATCAGAGTAACCTAGAATGGGCGGAGTTGAAGAATGCTGAAAAAATAAACCCATGAGAGATAGTGCCCTTAACATATCGTAAAATTCTTTTAACAGCCTGAAAATGATCAAGAGTAGGAGCATGCGTTGATTCACCGCATAGGATAAGTCTGGCCGAGTAATGGTGAGATACTACAAAGCACCAACTAGCGAATGATAGGTAGTGGGATCATTATAAGGAGTACCAGAACTTGTTAAGTAGTTGGATGTGGAAAGAGGCGTGACAATAGGTTTTGCATTAAGTAAACCAGCTCGAGTGAGTACATCATGTGCATATTTGGCTTGACTGAGAAATAAACCATCACTGTTGTAGGTGACTTCAAGACCTAAAAAATAGCTTAAAGGTCCAAGATCCTTAATAGCAAATTCTCGATGTAAACGAGTAATGCAAGAGTGAATAAGAGTTGACTGATTTTCCTGTCAAGATGAGATCATCAACATAAACAAGCAAGTAGAGAATGGATGATCCCTTTTTATAAACAAAAAGAGATGTATCGGCACGACTACAAACAAAGCCAATAGTAACTAAAAATGTGCTGAGGCGTTGAAACCAGGCACGCGGAGCCTGCTTGAGACCATAAAGAGCTTTTTGTAACCTGCATACATGATTAGGAAACTTTGGATCAAGAAAACCAGGAGGCTGCTCTATAAATACCGTTTCTGTGAGATGACCATTTAAAAAGGCATTTTTAACATCTAATTGATGTAGAGACCATTTGTTCAAAACAGCCAGGGAAAGCACAATACGGACAGTAGATGCTTTAACTACCGGGCTAAAGGTAAGAGAGTAATCAAGACCGGGAACTTGAGTGAACCCTTGTGCAACCAATCGGGCCTTGTAACGATCAAGAGAACCATCTGCAATATATTTAGTGCGAAAGACCCACTTAGAACCAACAATATTTTAGCCGATGGGTTGTGGGACCAAGACCCATGTGTTGTTAGAGCTCAATGCCTCCATCTCTTCTCGCATAGCAGAAAACCAATTTGGATCTTTGATGACTGTTTTGAAACCACAAGGCTCCTTGTTTGCAAATAAGGCAATGTGCAGTGGGTTGTGTTGAAGTTGTGCAAAATCAGCAACATGTTGGGGCTTAAAAATCCCATTTTTAGAGTGAGTAACCATCAGATGAGTAGATACTGTCGGAGGCGAACCATGTGTGACAGGGGCTGGAGCAGCTGAAACCGGGCTGATAGAGATGGCTGAAGTGGACTTAGCAGCTGGTTGATCGAGCACATCAGCAGGTGGCGGTAGATCATTACACAACGGACAATGAAAACTGGGCGAGGAGCTACTGGATGGGCCAAAGTGTGATGAAGCAACTTGTTGTTTGTTGATAGGTTGAGAAGAATTATGAGGAACAGTAGATGATGCAACTGTTAAAGGACCGTCTGAATAACTTGAAAAAAATAAGTATGCAAGATCAACCTTGTTAACATGGCCATAAAAAGGGAAGCTTGTATCATCAAATTGTGCATGTCTAGTTATGTAAATGCGAGAAGTGACCGAATCAAGGCAACGATATCCCTTGTACTGAGAGTCGTATCCAAGAAAAATACATGCAACAATTCTTGGAGCAAGCTTATGAGGAGCATAGTCTCGTAAATATGGGTATACCCGACATCCAAAAACCCAAAACATATCATAAGTGGGTGCATGACCAAAGAGGAGCTCAAAAAGAGTCTTGTTGTGGAGTACCTTGGTGGGTAATCGATTTATAATGTATGTGGCAGATTGAAACGCATCAACCCAAAAGGAAGCAGGTGCATGAGCATTAAACAACATGGCAAGACCGGTTTCAGTAACATGGCGATGTTTGCGTTCAACATGCCCATTTTGCTAGGGAGTATAGGTACATGAGACACGGTGATGGGTACCATTGGTAACAAAAAGATTTCGAACCCGATGATTTAAAAATTATGTGCCACCATCACTTTGAAAAACTTTGAGTTTTGTTGAAAATTGTGTTTGAACAAAACTGATAAATGCTTTAATAATATCAAAAACATCGGATTTCAATTTTAGCGGATAGGACCAAGTAAAACGAGAATAGTCATCAACAAAGAGTATGTAATAAAAATATCCATTTGTAGATGCAATAGGAGCAGGTCCCCATAGATCACAATGAACAAGATCAAGAACATGCAAAGATCGTTTAGGATTAACTTCAAATGGTAAATGTTTACTCTTAGAGAGTTGACAAGATGAAAAGATACTTGGTTTTGGTAATAAAGAAGTAACAGATAAATGACCTAATCTAGATAAAGAAGTAATGACATCAAAGGCAACATGACCCAAACGTTTGTGCCAGAGTTCAAAAGAAGCTTGGAGACGCGACTTTGACAACTTGGAAAGAAATGCCTTTTGACCTTGTTCAAGAATGTAGAGATCTTGATCAACCCTTCCTCGAGCAAGAATGTCCTTGGTTAGGCGATGCTGAAGAAAAAAGAATGATTTGGAAATTAAGATGTCAATAGGAAGGTCATTTGTGAGTTTACTAATAGAAATCAAGTTTTTCGTGAGATAGGGAACTACAAGGACATCTAATAATGGAATATTTGGATGAAGAGTAGAGTGTCCAATATGAGTTATAGGCAAAGCATTACCATTACCAAAAACGACATGATCAACCCCAGTGTAGGGTTTTGCTCCTTGAAGAGATGAGGTAGAAGATGTCATATGAGAAGTGGCACCCGAATCAACGTACCAATCTGGTGAGGAGCCAACATAAGAAGACTGAAAAGCTGATGCAATATTAGCATCATGAGTGAGAGGTTGCGTGGCAAACGTTTGGAGATCTGGACACTTATTTGTATAGTGACCATCTTTCCTGCAAAGTTGACAATGGGGAGATCTACGACCTCTGCCACGACCACCATTGAAACCTCCTCGGTTTCTGCCTCCATTGGAGTTGCCACGACCTCCTCCATTTGAAGAACCTCCACGAGTTTGAGTGGAGAGGAACGAAGCCTGTGGGATCGATGTGGGGTTTAGAGTTTGGATAAATAACTCATGTCCTTCGGCTTGGGATAACAGGTCTTGAAAAGAGGGTCGAGGTTTAATGGCACGTTGGGAGATAGAGAAGTGCTCAAATGGGCTTCCAAGGCCACATAAGAACCAATGACTTTTGTCATAATCATTAACGGGATAACCAATAACAGCTAATTGATCACAAATAGCTTTGAATTTGCGGCCATACTCAGCAACAGAAGAAGTACCTTTCTTGAGAGGACGTAGAGAATCGCGTAGAGTTTGCATACGCTCTATGGAGTCGTGACTGTATGCGTTTTCAAGAGTTGTCCATACATTACGAGCCGTTTTTAATCCCAGAACCTCTGCCATGGCCTATTCAGTGAGAGAAGACTGAAGGAGAAGCAAGACTTTCTGATCATCTTCTTTCCAGCGAACGAATTCAGGATTGGCAGCAGACACAGTGGTGGAAGTGGTAGTATCTGTGGTGGTAATGGTGGCCGCTGGTGGTGGAGTAGTTCCATCTACATGGCCGAAAAGCTTCTGGAAGGATAGAAGAGGCTCAATTTGATGTCTCCATAACAGGTAATTGGAGGAGGAAAGTTTAATGATAAGAAGGTGAAATAGGGTAGATAGAGGGAGGGAAGATTTTGTATCACCGCTCGCCATAGAGATGAAGGAAGGAAGAAGATGGCAGCAGAGGTTAAAAAAACGGGATGAGGGATCGATTTAGATGGCTGATACCATATAAGGATTGTAATTCTCAACACAATCTGTGGAGAGAGATTTTATTGATACTTTATACACTCAAATTACAGATAAGATAAGTACAATTTGAAATATAAAAATAATCTATACATATCTCCAAACTAGTTAAATAATATCTTGAATATCGTTAATAATTATCTAGTTAGAACTTAGTAGAACCATTTTTACAACAAATGGGTTGTTTTTGTGACAAAAAGAGTGCAAGGGTGCTAGGGACGAAAATTATGAAGACCAGAAGGGTCTCAAGTGGTGAAGATAACTCCTTGCTCCTCTTCATCTATCATTTGATTTGCCCACAAGCAATATGAAAAAGGCTCTCAAGAATTGCCCATCCTTCTCCCATAAGCACGACAATGAAAAAATGATATAAAGATCGAGTCTCTCACGTTTTAATATGTTTATATTATCGGTCATCACGCATAACATACAACTTTATGTACACGTCGTGTTTTTAACTTCTATGCATCATGATCTCTTTCAACCATAACATTGTACTTACAAACACACATCACCTCTACACTCACGTTTAGTAAAGTATATTATCACCCCAGAATAGAAACATACAACATCGATTTAGGGGATCAATTCAATAACGATCGAGTGATAATAAGTGTTGTGTACTCATCCTATTTCAAAAAGACAATTTTTCTCTTTAGTTTGGAATGCAAAAGTTATCATTTGACACACCCCTATTGTTTTGACGGGAGCCCACCATATAGATGATCGCTAATGACAAAATTTGGATCCGCCACTAATTATGATTAGTTAGATTTTATAAAATATGATGATAAAAATAATATAGATTTTTAAAATACAACTTAAATAAAAATAATAATTTATAATATATAATAAAAATATTAGAATAAAAATAATAAATAAAATATTTATTAACAAAGTGCATTCAAAAAGAAACTCTAAACCTAACTTCGTGATTCGGTATCCGTCTTAGAGACAATTAGTCAAACACCTGGTGTGTGTGAGCCAATCCCAGTGGATTCCATCAAGAACACGGATTAAGACACCAAACGACAAAGAAATAATTCATTTTTACGTAGTCTGATAAGTTCAGCTCCAAAAACGGAGGATTAAGAAGCAAAGAAACGTTAAATCAATTCACTGACTGACATCCCATGTTAAGAAAAAGGGGGAAAAAGTTGTAATCCACTTGCAGTAGTGGTTTCTGATCTTCTTCAAAGTTTATTCAGCGTGTTTCTTTAATGATTGAAGAATTGGTGGATTTAGATCGCTTGTGGTTCGGAGATTGGGTGAATGTATGAGAAAGACGAAGAATCTGAATCTGAATCAGAAATGGGTCGAGAGATTTCGAATCTTCTACGGCCGCGATTCCTTATTATCTTCTTGATCGGTTCAGTTCTTGTCTTCCTTGCCTTCTCATCGTTCTCTGAACAGGTATTTCTTCTATCGATACTCGCAATTGTTGGAACTGAGTTGGGTTCAGATATGTTCGTTAAAACCAATATGAATTCCAAGGGTTTCTTCTGTTATTTGGATCTATAGTTGAGACTATTAGTACAGTTATAACGATGGTTTTCTTATTGTGCAAAACTGTTATACGGATCAAATAATAGATAATTGGGAGATATGAATTCAGTGCCAATGTAAGAAGTTTTCTCTTACCTGTTACCTAACTTTTTAGGAGGAAGAGACAGTGGAGGAGGTGCATGAAATTACTCACAGAGTTTTCCTGGATGTTGATATTGATAAACAACGGTTAGGTATTGCATTTTGATTAATGTAAAAGATTCCAACTGTTTGTTTTTCTTGTACATTAATGTAAAACTTTCCAACTATGTTTTGATCTTGTTAAGTTCCAACGTTAAATTGCAGGAAGAATCGTTATAGGATTGTATGGAGAAGTTGTGCCAAAAACTGTTGGTAAGCTTTTAATCTTCTGTATGGACATAATGTTAATGACTTAATGGTGGATTTAAAATATTATATGATGGTTATCTTTTATCTTTTAACTAATACTTCATTGTTTTTCATGTTTTGCAGAAAATTTCCGTGCTTTATGCACAGGTAATCATGGTTCCATATTCTGTTAGATTCTAAACTGTCTAAACTGTTTTTGCCAAGAACTAAATATTTGATATTTGTGACTTCAAGTCGCAACCACTATTTAAAACAATCAGTTTTTATGTGCAACTTATATAACTTTCTCTTGGTATTATTAGGGGAATTGGGCAAGGGTAATAATGGTAAAACACTACACTATAAAGGAATCCCATTCCATCGTATCATACCTGGGTTCATGATTCAAGGTGGAGATATTGTCTTTGGTGATGGGAGGGGGAATCAATCCATATATGGTGGTACTTTTCGTGATGAAAATTTTAAGATCAAACACTCACACCCAGGTTTTTAACTTTCTACTAGCATCCCCTTTTAGGCCCCCTTGTACTGCATCTGCATCTGACATGACATAACTAGTTGTACTGCATCTGACATGACATAACTAATTGTACTACATTTGCATTTAACATGACACATAACTGTACTGCATTTGACATGACAAAATATAATGTACTGCATTTGAATATGATATGATAAGACAAGTTGTACTGCATTTGATATGATAGGACATACAGGTTCAGGTTGTACTGAGATTGATGCCAATTAAGACAAAATCACAATATTGTATCCTAACCAAAAGATGGAACAAGGTGGGATATGATTTTCCCTTGGTCTTTCACTCTTTTGTCAGTGCAAAAGACATAAATGCCCTTCTCATCCCCATCATTGAAATATCGCGTGTAACAAACACAGTTCTAAATGGCATTATGGCATACATTATTATCTTCTTCTAAAGCTACATTGTTTTGCAGGTATGGTGGCCATGGTGAATTCAGGTCCAGATTCCAATGGCTCACAGTTCTTCATCACTACAGTTAAGGCTTACTGGTAAGTTTTTAAGGTTATAACAGTAAATTTGATGGAACCTTGATATATAGAAGAACTCCCCTGTCCACCCACAAAAAATTGCAAAAGTTTCCTTTTAAAACAAGACTTACTTGCAATATCTTGTATAAAGAAATCACTTTGTTACATAAATAATACAAAATAAGATTTTGTGATTTTCCAGGTTGGATGGAGAACATGTTGTGTTTGGCAAAGTTATCGAAGGGATGGATAACGTGTACGCGATTGAAGGTGGGGCGGGTACGTACAGTGGGAAACCAAGGAAAAAGGTTGTAATTAGTGATTCCGGTGAGATCCCAAAAAGTGAATGGAATCGGGAGACCGGAATCACAACAAATGAATCATGACCAATGGCATCATATTAGCTTATATGTTTCTTTGGGTTTTTAGATAGCTTGACTATTCTTGAAGATAATATCTCTCATAGTCAACTAATTAGAAACTTTAGAATTTAGACAAGTGCAATATTTATCTTTGCACTTTGTTACCTATACATGTGTTTTTGTAGTTAATTGGGGTTGAAGTACAAATTCATACTAGTCAAATAGTCAAATTGCAGCTGAGAATCCCATTAGAATGAGGTATGGAATACTAACAGAATACCAAAGGACTTGTAGCCTGGCGATACAAGGAGTTGTCAGTATGGAGCCTATCAGTCAGTTTTGGTTGAGAGTTTAAGTCCTGTCTGAGACAAAAGTTTAGGATTTATGGGTTATGTAAGTTGGTTTTTTAAAAGGAAAAAAACACATAGCTATAAATGTCCAAACACAAAGAGTCGCCATGTTTTGATTTATAAGCAGGTTCCATTAAGAAGAGGCCAAAAACATATATAGGCATGTTATTTGTGTTGATATTTGGTGGAGGCCATGATGGATGTCTCTTTGATCTCTTTTATCTTGGTGATGTGCTGTTTTTTTTTTTTGTTTTTTGACTTTAGTGTTTGTTAACTATGTCAAATACTACAGAACTACCTTTATTATAATAAAATGAAGTTTTGTTTATCTAAAAGAAGTTAAAGAAATAAAAACACACTTGAAAATGATCATTTATATCTACGAGCCATCTAATTATAGATACATATTTAGCGTCGCAAAATATGTTAGAATAAATATCAATGTATTTGTAAAACATAAAACCGTGTACAATACTCATAAGCGAAGGGAATGTACACACATCAGTTGTATTACGTTTGCAAACTCACATAATATAATGGATTTATAAAAGTTTCACAAGTTTAAATAAACCAGAGGGTATGTTATATCATATATAATAAGTCGTGACATCGTCAAATTTTGCTATTTTAGAACTATTGTATGCTTGATTCTTAAGCGAAAACTTTTTATTTAAAGGGTGGAAATTCCCAAACTTTAAAACATTTGATATAGTAAAATCCAATTATGCTAAATCAAAGGTAAAAACATAAAATGTAAAATGATTTTTATAAAATGATATTCTATTTCTATCCCTTCATTTCTTCATGTACCGACATTTTTTTTAAATCTTTTAGATGTTTTTTACTTCATAAACAGATTTGATTTTTCTTGTCTTTTATTTGTTTTATTGTTCTTTGTTGTATTTTATTATTGTTAATATTAGACAAAATTACATAAATAGTTCATATGGATTTCCATATTTGCAAGTTTTTTCTCTAATTTTTTTTTTTTTTTTAAATTTTACAATCATAGTCCATATGGTTTCAATTTGGTATATGACTCGTATAAAATCTCCATTCTATACTTTTTAATATACTTTTTCTTTTTTATCTATATTTAAATTATATAAATATTAAAGTAATGGGGACCACATAACTAGGCCACATTTATTTAGACCGGAGGGTATGCGAGGGATGTTTCCCTCACTTTTTGTGGGCCACACCATCCTTTCCCTCACTTTCCTTTCCCTCACCTAAAACCCAAGGAATGGGTGGGAAGCTCCCCTCATTATCTTTTTATTTTTTTTTTAAATATATTTCATACATATATTATACTCATTTTGTAGGAAATTAAAAACCATGAATTTTGATATATTTTTTATATTTTTTTAGTAGATATATAATTTTATAAATATTAAAAAAGATAAAAAAAAAACTGTCAAATAGCATGAAGAGAGAGGGTGTGTCACCCCCTCCCCCCACCTCTTTCCCGCGGGTTGCTTCCCTCACCCAAAGGATGGTGTTCCAGAGTGAGGGAAGCTTCCCTCACCCCTTTCCCGCTATGATACCGTCCGGCCTTATACCCACCTCAATCTTTCTTCTCTTTGCTTCTCTTTTTCACAACCGCCACCTTCAACGACCATCTTTCTAACGATGGGTTACAAGAAATATGAATTAAAACTCACAAAACATATAGTTCCTTATTGCAATCTGAAAACGTACAAAAATCCAAATAAAGATTAAAAAAAAAAAACTATTCCTAGACCATCAGAATGTTCACCAAGCTTATTAGCTAAAGATTGAAAATTCAAAGAGCATTAATGCAGGCTCTAATTCCAAGCATCAAAGCACTAAATGAAATCAAACAAAAGAGTTTAACATTGATCTAAACAACGATTTTCCACTCTCTATAGCGTACATCATCATCTATATCTCTCACATCAAACTACCAAACTCTCATCACTAGATCAAGTTTGATCCGAAAAAAAAAAAAAAAAAAAAACTCTAGTCGGAAATTTGTCTACTAAGAAATAGCTACATAATGACCCTGTCTACTAAGAAATAGCTACATAATGACCCCAATGAACAAGGTTGAAAGAAATAACTACATGATTTGGGATGTATTGTAGACCAAGACTTAGTGGGAAGCACTTGGATAAACTTTGTCTGCTTAGAAGAGTAAATTACAGTTTTGGTCCATATGGTTTTATCATATTCTCACTTTTAGTCCAACTTTTAACAATTTAACAAAATGCATCTCTGTAGTTTAAAAAATTACACTACATGTACCTGGTCCATTTAAAGATCATTTTACCATTTCTTTTATCTTTTTGTTTTTCTATTACATATTTATAAT